TGCTTACTGTCCGGGGGGAAGAGGTGGGGAGGAAGTCACTGCTCCTGGGCGCCCCACGAGATGTAGTCCGGCCGCGTGGCTGCATGGTACTCGTCGATGAGTTCCTGGACAACCTCCCTGGACGTGTCCAGCTCATCGAAGTTCTCCTTGAAGATGTCCTCCTTGCGGAACTGCTCCAGGAAGGCCTCCCGCTTCCGCAGCTTGTCGTACTGCTGGCAGGAACTTTCAAAGAGCTGAAAGAGATAGAAATCTCCAGGATGGGAACTGGTGCATGATAAGGGGCTGGAATGGAATCGGGGAGAATGATAAGGGTGTCTAATGGAAGAGAATGGCCAAAGAAGCCCAGGAGATTAGGCTCACCGAGGAGATGCTGGTGTGGTTGGCCATCATGAGCCCACTGACCCGGTGGGCCGAAGGCAGGTAGGGAGACTTCCTTGACAGGGCCACCTGGATGCTGGCAGGGCCCCAGGGGATGAAGTTGGCCAACTTCCGTTCCCGGATCCTCTGCAGACTCTTGTGGACCTGGGGGTGGGGTGGGGAGGGGTGGACACAACAGTGGTGGTGGTAGCCTCTCCTCTACCCCTGTGGGTTCCGGGGGTGGCACGAAGGGGCCTCACCTACCTGGGTGGGGTCCACCTCCCCCTGGATGATGTTGAGGATGGCGATGTAGCAATGGTTGGTCTGGCGGTCCCGGCCCGTGGACACCATCACGTTCTTGGGCTGCAGCAGCCGCCTCATGACGTCCAGGACCGTGGTCTTCCTCACGCTGGCCACCTGAGGGGAGAGTGGGCCACAGGGACCAGGCCAGCACTCAGGGCTCGGTCCAGTGCCTGACCCCCATCAGACTCGGGCTAGGATGGTCTCCCTGGGAAGCGTCTTGAGATTCAGGTCTACACTGAGCCTCGGCTGCGGGACCAGGAGTCTGAGCCCTCCTCTGCTCAGCAAGGCCATGCCCCTGTGCAGGAGCATCAGCACACCCCACACAGCCCGGGCCCTGCAGGGAGCCAGGGGGGAGGGGAGAGGAGAGCAGGTCAGCGCGGAGCCCAACAGTCTGTGCCCGGCCCCGAGCACAGAGCCTCTGGGGGCTGCAAAGGGCAGCTCCTGGAGGGGGCAGCAGGGGGGCAGAGAGGCTAGGCCAGGGCCTGCCGGAGGCGCTCCTACCGACTGGTCCGTGGTGAGCGGGGTGTAGCCGGTCATGAGGAAGTGGAGTCGAGGAGTGGGGATGAGCGAGGCGATGAGGCCGATGAGGTCGTTGTTCATGTAGCCGGGGTAGCGCAGGGTGGTGGTGCTGGCTGACATGATGGTGGACACCTGGGGACGGGGGTGCCGGGTCACGGGCCTTGGCCTGGGGCGGCGCCTCCCTTCCCCAGACGGCACTCCAGGAAGGAGGGCTCCCAGTCCAGGAGTGGGGGCTCACCAGCTGGTTGATCTGGGAAAAGGACGGGTTCTGGATGTGCAGGCGGTCTGTGGCGATCCGGTTCAGGGCCGTGTTGTCCAGCACCACCTGGGGGGACACAAGAGGGTCACGGCACCTTTTTGAGGAGAAAGGGGGCAGAGAGATAAGTTATTATCTTAACCCCTTCTAAACTCCAAGAACCAAGAAGTGTATTAACTTAAAAAGGAAAGTACTGTCCCTGGGGCATCACAGCCACTTTTCCACCATCCTGTAAACAAACTGTCTCCATGCATCGTCCATTGTGCCCGGCTCTGAAGACACCATGGAGGCTAAAACAAGCACGGTCTGTCCCCTTCACCAGGTCTACAGAAAAGTACAGTTAAAGCCTAAAATATGCACAAAGGAATTTGACCTTGAATGCATGGTCAGGAAAGGTTTTACTCTGAAAGTGACCGTTGGGCTGAGAATTTAAGCATGTGTAGGCATTAAATAGGCTAAATGGGAACACATGTCAGGGGGTATTCCCTGTGTGAGAGCAACTTGGGGTCAAGTCCTTATTTCATAAGTTGGGCCACCAGGTATGACTTTGTTTGGTCCTCTGTTCTCTGGGCAGGGGCTTGGAAAGGGCAGGGTGTATATGTCCCACTGGTTTGAGGAGGTAGAGCAAAGCACCCCACCCCTCCCTTCTCTGGCGCTCACCACACAGTCTGCGTTCTGGGTCAGCCTCTTGAGCGTGAGCAGGGAGTTGTAGGGCTGGACCACCACATCGCTCATCTCGTCCTGGTTGGGGAACACTGAGTAGGTCTGCACCAGCTTCTTGGGGTACCTGGGGGTAAAGAAGAGGGAAAGGGCAAGTTGACAGGGAACTGGACTCCCGTCACTGCCCATCTTGGTCTTCTCTAGAGATAACTGGGCCATTTCTTTCCAAGTGCCACCAAGCTCTTGTGCAAAAGGCGGATGAGGGCAGAACTGAGTGTTTAGAGCCCAGGAGCCAAAAAGGATAAACCTAAAGCATCAAACCCATCAAACCCTATAGGTCCCTCCTCTCCCTAGGCAACCTCCCTCCTGGAAGTTATTGTTTCCTAGATGTTCCCTGGATGGCCAGGCTCTATTTGTACTGATGACTCAACACGATAGCACCAAGCCTTCCAGTCCATGAGAAAACAGCGACAAAAAGGAAAGACCTTACCCAGGGAGCCAGGGCTAATGCCGTCTCCCCAAACACAGGGTTACCTGTCATTCAGTCGTTCCAGAAGGTAGGACCCCAGGCCAGAGCCGGTCCCCCCAGCAATGGAGTGACACAGCACGAAGCCCTGCATGGGGAGAGGCAGTCTCCAGGGATCTGGGGAAGAAGCTTTAGGTTTGTCTCATTCCCCGCTCCCAATGCACTCATGTCTCAACGCTTCTTCTGTGTCCATCCAGGCTGAGACTCCTTGGGAAGGAAGACTCAAGCCTAAGGAGCTGATGTCATCCACATTGGGATCTCCTTGAGGTCAAGTACCGTAGCTTCTTTTTAAAAATTTTTTTTAACATTTATTTATTTTTGAGAAAGAGAGAGAGAGGCAGAGAGAGGCAGAAAGAGGGTGAGACACAGAAATGGAAGCAGGCTCCAGGCTCTGTGCTGACAGCTCAGAGCCTGACATGGGGCTCAAACTCGTGAACTGCGAGATCATGACCTGAGCTGAAGCTGGACGCTTAATGACTGAGCCACCCAGGTGCCTCTGTACCTTTCTTTTTAAATGTTTTTTTTATTTACTTATTTTGAGAGAGAGAGAAAGCGAGAGAGGGAGAGAGAGAAAGAATCCCAAGTAGGTTCTGGGCTGTCAGTGTAGAGCCTAACTTGGGGCTCAGTCTCACGAACCATGAGATCATGACGTGAGCAGATATCAAGAGTCAGTCGACTGAGCCACCCAGGAGTCTCTCTACCTTATTTACCTTAATATCTCACATATGATGCTCCAAAGACTAGTTTTAAATAGAATTGCCCCCATCACACCACCTGTTCAGGCTACCTCCTGACCTTTCCCCAGCTCTTTTCAGCCTTTTCTTTTCCTTCAGTGGGGCAGAACCTCACCTCTAAGCTGTCACTTCCATCAGCTTCTCGGTCTATGATGTCAAAAATGTCTTCATGGATCTTCTCGCCCTGTATAGAGAGACATGGGAGTGAGGGTAAGGATGAAGGTTCTAGGGAGTACCTCTTTGCAGCATCAAAACACCCTGGGACACCAATGCCACCCTCAACCAGAGCGTCAGCCGTGACCCTCAACCCAAAAAAGCTACTTTGCAAATGATTTGCAGCTTGCATACACCTCTCCCTGGCTGTTCCTCTTGTCAGGGTATCCCTTTGTCTCTTATTTACTGTCTATCTGGTCTGGTCAAATCCCCAGGCTGCCCTGGGGAGGGAGCATCAAGGGTTTCTGGGATGGCCGCCCAGATACCTGCGAGAACCCACTGGCCCAGTTGTTGCCAGCGCCTCCTCCATGCTCTGACAGGTAGATGTTCTCCGGGTTGTAGAGCTTCGCATACGGGGAGTTGAGGATGGAGTGGATCACCCGGGGCTCCAGGTCCAGCAGCACTGCCCTGGGGATGTAGTGCTCATCGTCTGCCTGTCAGGGGGAGTCCAGCGGGAGGGGGTGGGGTGAGGGGGTTCCAGTCAGCTAAGGCCCAGTCCTCCGTCCTCCCAACTCTGCCTCCTGCCTGCCCTCCCTCCTCAAGCCAGCCGCCCTGGCTCCTCTGCCCAGAGGGTTTTCTGGTTCCAAGCCACTGCCTTTCCCTCAGGCCTCCGGGCCACTGTCGGGGTAGGGGTGGGAGGCTGGCAAAGTCGCTGGGAGCACCTGGTAGAAAAAGACGTCCTTGCGGTCAGTGCCCTCGGTGGCGAACTCCTCCACGATGCCCTCGGGGCTGATACCATGCTCGGCGCACAGCTGTTTCCAGAACTCGAACCCAACTGGGGGATGGGGAAAGATGCCTGGGTCTGCTAGTCATAAGGCCTCAGGAGCCCAGGGTTAGACTCAGAGGCTGTCACACTCAGATGCTGGGCCCAAGACACCTCATCTGGGAGCTGTCACAGCCCAGGCGCGGCTCTCCATCCGGGGCTTGTTCATCATGCGCAATAGGGCAGGGTTTTCATGGAAGGGAAAGGGGGACTGGAGGATGCCAAGCACTTGGGTGGGACCCGAAGGGGGAAGAACCGGAGACTGGAAGGGGCTGGCGTTCGCTCGCTCACTCTGGTTGCCGCACTGGCCAAGCTGCAGGGTGATGATCTCCCGGGGCATCGCTCTTCAGACGTGGGCGCGCCAGCCCTGCCCGGCGGGAGTCACGGCAGAGACGAATGCCTGGCAGCCGGGCTCGCAGGACGTGGGGAGCGCGCGCTCTCTTCGTCTTTTGACGCGAGTGCTCGGTCTGCGCGTGTGCAGTGCGGACCTCCCCGCTGCCGCCCGGCCGGGGAGCCCAACCTGGACATCATTTCCCCACTACAGTTACAGCTGGAATTCGGCACAGGCGCAGTGTGAGGCCACGCCCCCTCCTGCCCACCCACCCCAGCTCCGCGCCTGCGCCGTGAGACGTGCTGGGGCTGGGGCGTAGCGACCCGAGCGTGGGGGCGGGGAGGGGTGGTCCAGGTGTACCGAGTCAGCTGCGCGCTACAGTTGGGTGAGCGACTTGTAGGCTCTTCTGCACAGAGGTGCTGGCTTTAAGCCAGTCTTTTTTTTTTTTTCAATTTCTATTTTTAAATTAAATATACCTAACATAAATTTTACCATTTTAAACCTTTTTAATCGGGCAGTTCTGTGGCATAGTGTACATTCATACTGTTGGGCAGCCATCGCTATCATTCATCCCCAGAACCTCCTCACCTTCCCACCCGAGCCCTGTACCATAAATAGTAACTCTCCATCTCCATCCTCATCAACATCCTGCTTTCTGTCTCTATGATTTTGACCAGGTATCTTATATAAATGGAACTATATAGTATTTGTCCTTTTGTATCTAGCTTCTTTCACTTAGCATAATGTCCTCAAGGTTACACCATATTGTAACATATGTCAGAATTCCATTCCTTTTTAAGGATGTATGATATTCCATTGTGTGTTTATGCCACATTTTGCATTTATCTATTCATTTGTAGATAGACACTGGGGTTGGCTATTGTGAATAATTATGCCATGAACATGGGTGTGTACAAATAAGTTTGAGTCCCTGCTTTCAATTAATCTGGGTATACACCTAGAAGCAGAGTTGCTGGATCATATGATAGTTCTGTGTTTAGTTTTTTGTGGAATTGCTGTGCTATATTCTTTCTTTTTTAATTTGTTTTGAGAGAGAGAGAGAAAATGCATGCATGGGAGGGGCAGAGAGAGAGAGAAGGAGAGAGAATCCCAAGTAGGCTCCTCACCATCAGTGCAGAGCCCAACGCGGGCCTCAAACCCACGAACCCAGAGATTATGACCTGAGTCAAAACCAAGAGTCAGATGCTAACCGACTGAGCCACCCAGGCGCCCTGGTACCATTTTCTATTGTGGCAGCACTATTTTACATTCCCACCTGAAATGCACAAGGTTTCCAATTTTTGCATATCCTCACCAACACTTGTCACTTTCTGTTTTGTTTTGTTTTCTAGTAATAGCCATCTTAATGGAGTGTGAAGTGGTATCTCACTGTGGTTTCTGTTTTATTTTAAATTACAAAGTTGTACACATACAAACATGTTTTTGTATTTTATTATATATTTTTTGTTTTGAAATGTTCTATAAGTGGTATCAGAGTATACTATCCTTTTGTAACCTGCTTTTTTCACCCTACATTAGATCTTTGTGATTTAGCAATGCTGATGCATGTAGATTTATTTCATTCTTTTTAACTGCTTTATAGTGTTTCATTGGATGAATAAGCTAGTTCATTCTATTTCCACACAAGGGTGATTAGATTGTTTCTACTTATTGTTACATAGAGTGAATACAGGGCTTGTCACTTGTGAACATGAAGGAAAACATCTCTACCACCGGTATGTGCACGTTCTTTAGAAGGTTTACAAACTGTACAAGGTTTCACATGTTTTTTTCCTAGATGGTTGTACACCCTTTCCAGCAATGGAGTTTTCATTTCCTTATACCTGCATCCACACTTGGCTTGTCAGATCTTAATTTTTGTCCATCCCATGGATTCCCAAGGGGATCTCATGGTTATCATTTCCAGTTATGATCACAAGTGAAGTTCATCTGACTTGTTGTTGTTGTTGTTAGAACTTTGAGAATTGCCTGTTCCTATCTTTTGCCCATTTTTCTATTGGTCTATTATATCTTCTAGACATAATAAGATACTCCACAGTTTTTCTTCCTGGTTATATGGGTCGCAAATATTGTCTCTTAGTCTATGGCTTGGCTTAAACTTTGCCTGTGGTATCTTTTGGCCTAGAGAAGATTTTAATGTAGACAGTTATTCTTTTCCTTTTCCTTCCTTTTTCTTTTTCCATGTACTTTTCCTGTTTTGTATGTTTTATACCTTGTTAAAGATAGCATCCCTTTCCCAGTATCATAAAGCTGTCCTTTTACGTTTTCTTCTAGAAACCCCATAGTAGTTTTGCTTGCTCCCTGTGTTGTGTACTGACTTGTTACGATTTGAAATCCATGTTTTGAAAGCTTGTTTTGGACAAAGTTGTTTGTGGTTTGAACTTGTTCTCATGAAATTGTTTTGAAGTTGGATATTAGAACTTTCTTATCAAACTCTAGCACCTGAAGTGGAGAGGACCATTACATCATCAACACCATAGTAACGGCCATGGCGTCCATCACGTGGTAAACTTTTAAACTTTAAAAACTAAAAGGTATGACCAGCAACTCGAAAGCGTTTGATCTGGACAAGGCTACTCTTTGCTGATCTAATAGCTCTCTGGCGATCTTGAGACACTTACTCCCACTGTAGCTACTATGGCAAGGCTACCTTGGTGTTAGCAGTGGTGTTAAACCATGCAGCGATGTCAGGAAGAGAAGGGACGCCTGCTTCTGCCTCAGTGAGGCTACTCCTTATAGGCAGTGGTGCAAGCTGTGTAGTGGTCCCTACAGTAATAATCATCAGAGCAGCCGACCGTGCCTGCCAACACTGGCTCGGTCTCCCACTAACTACGTGCCCTAGCAGTGAGGGTCCTAAGCAGGCAGCTGACACCCAGCTTTTGGTTGGAAGGACTGACACTACCAAGAACCAACTCATAGAAAGGTACACCTCAGCTAATATTGGACTTTATTTCTTCCATCTCCCCTTTACCTGGAACAATAATGTAATTAATCTATCATTGGTTTTGAGTATGTTATTTCTTTATTGGCATATTAAGAGACATCATCCTGTATGCTATTGGCTTGTGAAATATTATTATTATAAATTATAATTCTTGTAGTGAACCTGTGTTAAATAAATTATTGGCAAGGACAGACTTAGTCTCGGAGCATAATTTGCCCTGAACAAAACACCCTGGAGGTCTTTAGTTCATCTGGAACTTATTTGGAGGCCTGCTGTAAGATAGGGATCCACTTTATCTTTTCCATATGGATGGCCAATGGTCTCCAAGCCAATTATTGAAGAGTGGGTGCGGTGCCCCCCAGCCCCAGAACATTCCAAGCCCCCGCTCTGATACAGGCTGGTTTCTGGCTTTTCTTCCGCTCCATTGGGCTGTCTGTCTGTCCCTGTCTGGCGGGCTTTCTCTGGGAGCTGCTGCAGACATGCCGGCAGAGGCACCACGCCAAGAGTCATGCTCAGACGAGGTTTTTGTTTTCTTTTCTCTCTCACTTTCTCATTTTTTTTTATGAGATCTCGGCCACCTTCCAGGCCTGGCCTCCACGAATCCTCTGGGCTTCTTTGGAAGACTTGCCCCATGGCTGTCCCCTCCCAGGCCTCTGCTCAGTTTCTCTCCCCTCACCCGACTCCAGCCCCACAGCTCACTTCCTCCTCTTGGGCAAGGGGTGTCCCTCAGGAGGACTGGCAGCCTCGCCCTGTTGGGGAGGGTCTGGGTGCTCCCCTTGAAGTTTGAGGTGGGGTCAGAGTTCCTCCTTGGAGCCTCTTTCCCCTGACAGAACTGTTACTAAGGGCTGGCTGTCTTCGGAGGCTTCTCTAGGCCCCTATCTGAGTTCCCAGGTGAAGAGGAAGGCTTTAGAGATGAGAGTAAATTCGTCCGGCCTCCCCTCCTTGTGAGTCTGGAATGGCTGTTTGCTTCCTTTAAAATAATAAGCTGGAAGCAGTTTATGAACACTTGTGAAATGAGGGAATTTAATTTCAACGTTTTCTTTTTAAAAAATGCTTTTAAATGTTTATTTTTATTTTTCACAGAGAGAGATTGACAGAGTGAGAGCAGGGGGGAGGGGCAGAGAGAGAGGGAGACAGAATCCGAAGCAGGCTCCAGGCTCTGAGCTATTAGCACAGAGCCCAATATGGGGCTCAAACCCACAAACCGGGGCTCAAACCCACAAACCATAGATCATGACCTGAGCTGAAGAAGTCAGACGCTTAACTGACTGAGCCACCCAGGTGCCCCAACCTTTTCTTATGATTAATAACAGTGCCTCGCTCCTCCTTCTAGTCTCCAAAAGTGGGAAAACTTCCTTCAAATCCTAGTTTATAGACAAACAGGTTAGAACGTGTGAGTTGATCTGAATTGGAGAAATTGCAAGGTGAGTTGCCTCGAAGAAGTCATCTCTGACAAGCTGGAGGCTCCTCCTCACCTGTAGAAATGGGTTGGAGACGTGCTTATGTATAGAGCTGAACATAAATCCGCCCCAGTTATTAGCAGGTCATACTTTCCATTTTTGCTGAGAACCGACCAGTCCATGTTGGTTGAATGCAGTGATACATCAGCAGCTAGAACAGTGCCAGAGTCACAGAAAACATTCAATACATACTAGCCACTCTTATGATTACCACTAGATGCAGTGAAACTGAAGTATAATTTGGCTGTTGCTACAGATGAAAGATCTCATTCAGGGCAAAAACAAAATAAGGGGTGTCTGGGTGGCTTAGTCGGTTAAGCGTCCGACTTTCGCTTAGGTCATGATCTCGCGGTTCGTGGGTTCGAGCCCCGCATCGGGCTCTGTGCTGACTGCCAGCTCGGAGCCTGGAACCTGTTTCAGTCTGTGACTCCCTCTCTCTCTGACCCTCCCCTGCTCACGCTGTCTCTCTCACTCTCTCCTAGAAATAAATAAAAAACATTAAAAAAAACACACAAAATAAGTGGTTGCTTTAAATAAGTCGCAACAAATTAAAACCTAATATTATTTGTCATGATCCTCCAGATTCGGTTTCAGATCTGACTTCTATTGAAGTTGAGCAAAAGGACCACCAGGTTCATGGTCTTTTTCATGGGTTTCAGATCCAGTGGCTCAAGGTCATTACCCAGAGATTGATTATTGAGTGCTGAGTTCAATTTGCTTGGCTCCATGTTCTCTGATCCAGGTTGTGATAATGCAGTGGGGTTGTGGCATTCCTTTGTCTGAGGCTTTGGTCTGCCTCTGATAATAAATGCAGCATTTGTAAACTGACAAGTTTGTTAAAAGTCCTAAGCTTTTATTTGCTATTCCAGGTTGAGTAAAACATTTTGGCTGTACCTTCATTCCTGGTCTTCCTGGACACCTGGACTGTCGGAGTACAGATATGCCAGAAGCACAGGTATGTTGGGGAGGTAAGGAGGCAGAGGTATGAGGTGGGGAAAGGAGGGTGTGTCAGAGGCTGGGAGGAAGAGAGCTAGTTAGAGCAGCTAGTTAGAGACTGGGATCCTATGACCCCAGGGGGTTTAACCTTCAAAACGAAGCCAAAGAAAAATTGCAGCAGTGAACATGAAGGGCTGAAGCTCTTTGTATGAAGGAAGTTATGTTAAATTCATGTTTTGGTCTCGAAATAGAACAAACCAGGCTATTTTGCTCTGAATTGTTTTCTCAAGGAATAGGAAAAAGGAAATAAGCCTAAGAGTGATCCTGTTTGCACATGGCTTCATTCTCGTATTACGCATCTATCCTATGCAGGGGCACACTAATATGAACTGGGGAAGTAGAGGTAACAAACCCAAGTGTTCATGGCCTTGTGGAAGAGATAAATACACGGTAAGGTTAGCAGAGAGTGCAGAGAAGGGGGCTCAACTTGGGGAGTGGGTACAGGGAGAGGGCAAAGAATTGGAGAAAACTTTTTGGAAGAGGTGGTGCCTGGGCTAAGTCTTGAATGTTTGGTAAGAATTGCCCAGGTGGAGACAATGGAAAGGCAGACAAACCAATAAGAAGAAGACAAGCAAGGTGTCGGGCTGGCTGAGTTGGTAGGGCATGTGACTCTTTGTTTCTTCTTTTTTATAATTTATTATTTATGTATTTGTTTTTTGTTTTGTTTCAAGCTTTTATTTAAATTTTAGTTAGTTAACAGGCATGTGGCTCTTGATCTTGGGGTTGTCAGTTTGAACCCCATTTTGGGGCCAGAGTTTACTTAATAAAAAAAGGGGGGGGGGGAAAGGAAAACAAATATTCAAGAAAATGGGTAAAAGGAATAAATGGTCCATGATAAATTAAAAAATGTAAAATGATACTCAGGCTCACTAGTAATTGGAAAAATACAGATTAAGGGCAAAGTATTAGACCAGCAAAAATTTAAAGATATCTAGTGTGGATGGGGGTCCTAACAAAGGGGTGCTTTTATACCATTGGTGATCGTTTAAATGGATACATTCTGGAGGGTAAACTGGCAATTCTCTTGATATGTAAAAATCACATATTCTACTTCCAGGAATCACCTGAGTCCCTGGTAACTAGGGACAGGTGCTAGGACATAGGGACAAGGATGCATATATAGGGATGTGTGCTGCAACAGGGTCTATAATGCTCAAAAGTAACCTGGCTGCCCATGTGTACATCCATAGCAGTGTTCTTAAATATAAATTGCAGCAATCCCTATTAAGGGACACAAAGGAGCCATTCGTAAAAAAATACCAGGTAGCGCTATCATCAGCATGGAAAGGTCACCGACACATGGTAGGTGACAAAAATAAGTTTTTGTCAACAAATGAAAGTGTTTTCGAGTGTATGTGGAGGGAAAAAAAGGTCTGCGTGTGCCGGCACGCGTGTGTGTGTTGACGGTGTGGAAGAAGAGCATGTGTGCGGGCTGGATGTGAGAGACGGCAAGTTGAGTTTAGGGTGAATGAGGAAAGTGTCAGGTAGTGAACTGGACAAGTCAGCAGGGACCAGCCTGGATGTGCCTTGCAAAAGAGGGAGCTGCTGAAGGTTGCTGAACAGGGCTGGAGAAAGATCTTCCTGGCATCAGTATGCTGGAGTAAAGCAAGAGGCAAGGTTATCAGCCAGGGCTGAAATGAGCAGAGCCCTGTCCAAGTATGGAGAGGAGGGGACAGATTCTAGAGACACTGAGTGGAGAGTCTTACACTCACTCAGATGAGATGGCTGATTATGTAATGGGGGTAAGGGAGAGGAAGGGTTCTGAGAGGGCAGGTTTCAATCATTGGGTGAAGGTAGGGCTGTTTCCTGAGACACAGGGTAGTGAGGGGGTGCACGGATGCACAGACTGAGCTTGAGTTGGGGAATATTCGGATGGAGCTAGGGGCCCAGTAGGCAACAGAGACTTCACAGGCCTAGAGCTACGGAGTGAGTTCCGGGTGGAGAGGGAGCCCTACCCAAGTGGCAGTTCAAGCCAGAGGTGTGAATAGGGTCACTCGGGGAGAATTTGTAGTGTGGGAGGGTCCTGGACTGGAAGGGGACTGGAATAGAACCTGATAGAACACAATACGTAAGAGTAGGAAGACGGCATCGCAAAGAAACATGAAGGAGCAAGCGAAAAGCAGAAGAAAAGCTGGTATGTATCAATGAGGTTTGATTGCCTGCTCACTTCTGGCAGAGCCCCGGTTTTGTTCGGCCTTCCACCCTTCTTCCAAGTGGTTTGGCAATAGATCCTGATTAATCCAAGCCAAATACGGTGATCGCCATTTCCTTGCCGGAGACTGATTTAGGAAGGGACGTATGATGCAATTCAGGTCAATGTGGTGTGAGGAAAGATTTCTGGGGGCTCCGGGGGAAGGTCTCCTCCCTGATTAGAAATAGACACACAAGAAGAGACACTCTATTCTTCAGCTACACGTTGTCACATTTGGATATGGCGCCTGGAACTGCTATAGTCCTTTAACTTGTAGGGGAGAGCACCTTGAGGATAAGCCACCATCCTGAGGGTGGTAGAGCAGAAAGATGCCAAGCCCCTGGGTCTCAGATGAAATTGTTAAGCCGTGACATTAATCAGCCCTACAGCAACCCCATATCTGTGCTTCTTAAAATGTATGATCTAGTTTTCCTCATGGTTTAAGCTATTTGATTGGGATTCAGTTTTTACTTGCAGCTCAAGGCATAGCCATAGAGAAGGATACTGCAGAAGCCTAGCAAAGAGAACATTCTGAGGAGGAAATAATTTTGAGCAATATGGAGATAGAGAAGAGACCTTCAAATTTGGGGAACCATTGGTGACTTTGGTGAGGATATTGAGCCTGGGCCATGAGAGTAAAAGCCCGATTGCAGAAGGTTACTTAACCCTTATACATAGTTGGCATTAACAGATATTTGAAGAATCATGAAATTGAGACATGAGGAAGATGAGAAGGTGGATGGGAAGGACGAACTTTAAAACAGGCATTTTAGGGGTGCTTGGGTGGCTCAGTTAGTTAAGCATCTGACTTTGGCTCAGGTCATGATCTCACGGTTCATGGGTTCGAGCCTCACATGCTGACAGCTCAGAGCCTGCAGCCTGCTTCGGATTCTGTGTCTCCCTCTCTCTCTGCCCCTACCCTGCTCACGCTCTGCCTCTCTCTGTCTCAAAAATAAATAAACATTTAAAAAGTTATTTAAAAAAATAAAATGAAACAGGCATTTAAATCTGGTGCCCACAGGACCCCCCAGGGGATCTATGGATAGAATTCAGGGAACCCGTGAACTTGGATGGGAAAAAATTACATATTGATTTTTCATTCACCATTTGTTTGTTTGTTTGTTTGTTTGTTTATAAGAGAGAGCTCAAGTGGCGGAAAGGGGCAGAGGCAGAGGGAGAGAGAGGATCTTAAGCAGGCCCCATGCCCAGTGCAGAGCCTGACATGGGGCTTGATCTCCCAAGTATAAGATCATGACCTGAGCCAAAATCAAGAGTTAGATACTGAACTGACTGAGTCACCCAGGTGTCCCTTACTCACCTGTTATTAAAATATAGTCTTCTTGGGTGGTGTCCTATGTTGGGCTCTGCACTGACAGCATGGAGCCTGCTTGGGATTCTCTCTCTCCCGCTCTGTCTGCTCCCCACCCCCCACTCACTCGCACATGCTCACTCTCTGTCTCTGTCTCTGTCTCTCTCTCTCAAAATAAATAAATAAAATTTAAAAGAAATAAAATTTAGAGTATAGTTTTCCCTTCAATTATGACTGCAGGTATCATTCTTCAGTAGTAGTGTAGTGCCTGTGACTTTGTCACCTGTACAAATCGCAGCTATTCTTACTTCACCTTCCAGTTGATACAGATATTACAATAGCGTTTATAATCACCGCTACTTAACAATAGAGGAGTTATTATAGATAACACAAGATTTTGTTATGGAATGCATTAATAAAGGACTTACAGGAATAAAAGAAAGAAGCACGTGTATTACTATGTCACAAATTTTAAAAATATATTATAACCACTGGATTTCACTATAATTGGTTTCCAAGGTAGTTCTATGTATATTGCATGCATTCAAAAACATTATCCACCCAGTGGTGTGAGAAAGGTTAGGAAGTCTGGCTGCAAAGGACAAGAGAGAAGGGGAAATTTGTACAGTGGAGATGGGAATGTGAGGTCTAGAGAACACCGCTTTTTAGAACAGAGGAAAGGTTTCAGAGTGGCAATATTAAAGGCACAGACACGGGATTTTGAGAGCCAAGGTCCCCGGGAAGGCTGGAGCTATTGGGATGTAGGGCTCAGGTGGAAGGATTAACCACAGGAAGGAAACTTTTCCCACAATAAAAGGGAGGAAGGGATGAGTGTAGATAAAAATAAGTGCTTTAGTGGGGTGGCAGTGGGGGGCAGGAAGTTGAGGGGGCTTCTGACTGATGGCTTCTATTTTCACTGTCAAGTAGGAGTGAAGTTATCTGCTGAGAGTGCGAATGACAGGGGAGGTGATAAGGTAGGGAACAGGAGAGGGCTGACAGGGACAAGTAGAGGGACCACCAACGGCCCACCACCAGGTTGTCATGGCAACAGTCTGCGTGGGTGTGCGCTGTCTAGGGCAGTGTTCAGCTACTCAAGCGTAAGAGTCAGAGGGCAGAAAGTCAGCTAGAGCCGGGCTGGGGTTTTACCAGGAGGGTGGGGGTGAAGATTGGGGGAATGCAGGAGGAACGGATCAACTTGTCCAGGCTGCGTGGAGAAGGATGTGAAGCTAGGAAGGGGATGCCAGCTTGGACTAAAATCAACGTCAGGGAAAAGAATGGGACAAAGGGAACAAGAAGGGGGAGGTGCAGGAAGTGGTGGTACAAGAGAGAGCCGGTCAAGTTTAAGGTTAAGGAGCAGTTTGTAGGATGGCAAGTGCTGAGGTCTGTCCATTGTGTGGGTGACAAGGAGACAAGTAGTAAAGGGCATTTGAGGTGAGGAGGTCAAGTCCAGTCAGGACCATCCGTATAGATGTAAAACTCACCTAGGAGGAAGGTAAAGCTTGGAGGGGAAAGTCTGGATGGAAGAGTGATCTGGAAATCGGTAGATCATTGGAACAAGTAGTGGAAGAGTGTGATGGTGGTAACTAACACGTGCGCCAAAGGAGGAGGAGGGCTTTTTTTTTAACAACAATGGGGCTCCATGCTCCTGTTGTGTAGCCAGGGCTTCAAAAAATTACTAGCTTTTATCCAAGAGGCCAGAGAGAATCAGATAGCTGTGGACCAGACCTGATCTAGGTCAGTGGCTTCCAATCCCACAAGTTAGTCCCCTCCCAATGCCCCACCCCAACCGGGACACCTGTTTGGTTTCATCACAATAGTAGGGGTGGAGGTTCCTGGCATTTGGTACCCAGAGATCAGAGATGCTTAATGTCCTGCAGTGTGCAGGAGAGCCCCACAGGGATGAACTGTCCTGCTCAAAATGCCCATGGTGCATCCATACACTACAGATGAGGAGGTGAGGATTCAGAGAGCTGAGATGTGTACTTAGGTTTTGGAGCTTCTGTGGTTTTGATACGATGTTAAGATCTGTGTGTATGTCTAAGGCCACTGTGGCTATTAACGCTGGTTGGGAAATCCAACCCCTTCTCCCTAGTCACCTCTCAACGATGGGTCTGCAGTTGCCTCAGTTCTGCCCAGTGGAATGTAAGCAGAAGCCATGGAGCAAGACTCCTGGGAAAACTTTTTCAAAAGGGCAAGTGAAACTGGAGGCCCCTGTCCCTCTCTGCCCTGCGCCTCGTCTTCTGCTTGGAACTCGGTTCAACAGTCATCATGAGCACAAAGGCCACATATGAGTGATGGTGGAACACAAAGATAGAAAGGCCAGGTATCCTTGGTGATTTCCTAACAGATGTCCCAGACCCTGGACTGCCCACCTCTGGACTTACCAAGTGAGAAAAGCAAACTATACTATTTGTTTAGGCTACTGTTGATTGTTCTGTTAATTGCAGCTGAACATATTTCTACCTGATGGGGTCATAGGGCCAGTTAGGCCCAGCGGATGCTAACCCCACGTTTTCTCTCTCTCACTCAATCCAATAGTCTTTCCTTGACAGCGGTGGTTCTCAAAGTGTAGTTTCCAGACCAGCAGTGCCAGCCTTGCCTGGGAACGTGTTAGAAAGGCAGAATTTCTACACTTCTAAATCAGAAACCCAACGATCTGGTTTAACAAGCCCTCTGGGTAATTCTCACACGCCAATTTCGGGACCCACCGCTCTCCAGCTATGTTCCTCCTCAGCACACCTGGAGGCTCGTGAGAACATACCGTCTCAGATCCCACCCCATAGCCACTGATCGGAATCTGTATTTTTAGGAGATCCCGGGGTTATCTGTACATGCATAAAAGTGTAAGGAGCATTGCTCTACAATATGCTTACGTGAGTCTTTTAATCTCTCTTATAGAAACCTGAGTGCTGGAAAGCGATATGACTGACCAGGCTGAAAACACGCATTCAGGATCCAGCTCATGTACATCACGTAAGGAAAAACAAAAACAAAAAACAAAAAACCCAAAAACCAAAAAACCAAAAAAACCCCTGAACATTTAAAAATCCAAAGATACAGTCCACAATTAAACTTTTTTTTTATGTTTAATTTTGAGAGACAGCGTGAGAGACAAAGTGTAAGCCAGAGAGGGAGATAGAACCCAAAGCAGGCTCCAGGCTCTGAGCTGTCAGTGCAGAGGCCAAGGTGGGGCTTGAACTCAAGAACCATGAGATCGTGACCTGAGCCAAAGTCAGACATTTAACCCACTGAGCCACCTAGGCACCCCACAATTGAACTTTCAGTTTTGATTTGGAAGTTTAAAAACTTACAGAAAGTACCAAGGCTTGTGTAATTATACCTTATGTGCTTCACAGTTAACTTTAAATGAAAACTTAGCCCAAGTATAAATTTGAGAACATCCTTTTAGGAATCTCTTGAAAGGTGAGGTAAGTTTGTGAATGTCACCAGTGCCTCTGTGAAAGAAATCACACAGTGTGTGTGTGTGTGTGTGTGTGTGTGTGTGTTTTAATGCTTATTTATTTATTTTTGAGAGAGAGAGCACAAGCCAGGGAGAGGAGAGAGACAGAGGGAGACATGGAATCTGAAGCAGGCTCCAAGCTCAGAGCTATCAGCACAGCTCAAGCTGACGTGGGGCTCAAGCCCCCTAACCATGAGACCATGACCTGAACCGAAGTTGGACGATTAACCGGCTGAGCCACCCAGGTGCCCCCAAATAATTGATTGTTGTAATACCTTTATGTCCATTGGAGAAGAGATGTGGCAAACTTAAGGGATAGACTTTCTGTCTTCTTTGCATCCTTTTTAATAGGATGAATGTATTTTGAAAATGATGTATTTCGTGATGGCATTTCTCGGATTCCATGACTGTCCTTAGTTCATGTCCGTGCTATTCCTGATGTTCACACTTGGTAACAGCTACAGCGTCAGTCATAAAGTGTGTGACCTTAAGCCCTCATTCCAGTCTGCCTCAGAAACACAGCTTGCTAGGAATGCCTGCCTTAAAATGTATTTAACTTAAAAAAAATGTTGATAGGGGCACGTGGGTGGCTCAGTCGGTTGAGCGTCTGGCTTTGGCTCAGGTCATATCTCGCGATTTGTGGGTTTGAGCCCCGCGTCGGGCTCTGTGCTGACAGCTTGGAGCCTGGAGCCTGCTTCAGATTCTGTGTCTCCCTCTGTCTCTCTGCCCCTCCCTTGCTCATGCTCTGTCTCTCTCTGTCTCAAAGATAAACTATAAAAATTTTTTAAAAAGTTAATATTCTTTAAATATATTTTCCAGAAAAGTAGCTTTTAGAAAGATAGGAATGTCTCTGTCATTTCCATTATATGTTCTACTTTTTGTGTAGAACAGAGGTTCTGGGTCTGTTCACTTTGTCGAGACAATGCATTGCAAAGTCGATTAATCGGAGATACAGTGATAGCATCCTAAAGCTGGATGGGATGTGGAGATCATTTATTCACTAGGCCTTCCCAACCTTGCCCCACAGTATTCACATAGAAAATGATGATGTCCAGGGTGCCGGGTGGCTGAGTCAGTTAAGCATCCGACTCTTGATTTTGGCTCGGGGCATGATCTAACGGTTTGTGAGATTGAGCCCCACATCAGGCTCTGTGCTGACAGTGTGGAACCTGCTTGGGATTCTCTTTCTCTCCCTTCTCTCTGCCTCTCCCCACTTCATGCTTTATCTCTTTCAAAAAAAAAAATAAAAACATTAAAAAATCTTTAAAAAAAAAAAAAGGAAAAAGAAAATGACATTATCCTTCAGCACCACAAGGAAAGGGAAGACAGGAGGCAGTCGGCTACACACAGAGAGCTGTCAGGAGGCCTCTGTTCCTGATCAGCACACCTCTAGCTCATATAAGGTACCCAATCTATTTCAACATTTTATTTCCTAAATGAGGAAGCAGAGCCTTGTGTTTTGTTTTGCTTTGTTTTTTATTTATTTTTTAATTTTTTAAATTTATTTCTGAGAGAGAGAGAGACAGCGTGAGCATGGGGAGGGTCCGAGAGAGAGAGACACACACAGAATCTGAAACAGGCTCTAGGCTCTGAGCTGGCTGTCAGCACAGAGCCCGATGTGGGGCTCGAACCCAAGAACTGTGAGGTCATGCCCTGAGCCAAAGTCGAATGCTTAACCGACTGAGCCACCCAAGCGCCCTTGTTTTGCTTTGTTTTTAAAAAAAAAAAAAAAGTTTTTGCATGATCTACAGGTCATGGGATTATTGGGCTCGGTCTGTTTTCCTTTCTTTTCTCGTGAACGTTGTAATTTTTTCTTTTTCTGATGAAATTTTAAAATATTTCCAACATGATAAGATAGACTATTTCCCACGACTGCTTTGACATTTATTTATTTTTGAAAGAGAGAGAGATAAAGCATGGGTGAGGGAGGGGTAGAGGGAGAGGAAGACTAAGAATCCAAAGCAGGCTCCAGGCTCTGAGCTGTCAGCACAGAGCCCGACTGGGGGCTCAAACTCATGGACTGTGAGATCATGACCTGAGTTGAAGTTGGACGTTTAGCCGACTGACCCACCCAGGCGTCCCTCCTATGACTTTAATGTGCTGTCATATTTTATAAATTGATCTCTTCAGGTGTCTGAGATTGAGTTATTTTTCCTTTGTCTCTAGAGCTTCCATTGTTTTTGCAGTATGTTGAATTTTTGGGTCCGTTTTGACCATTAATGTTTATTATGCTTTCAGTGCATCCCTCTAGCTATGCTAGGCCAGTGTATTTGGCTAATTAAAACTAGTTAGGCACAGCGTAACATAAAGGGTTGTAGAGTCACTCACTATATTGTAGACCTAAAACTAAGGTAACATGGTGTGTCAACTATATTCAAATAAAGCATTTGAAGACTGCAACTGTTTAGGAAGCTATTAAAAATTAACTTTTGACATGGTTTTAGTTTCCTGCTCTCTATCTCTGGTTTGTTAAATCAACATGGCAAAGTTCTAATAGTTATTTAGCAGTCTAATTGCAAATTGGAAGGTCCACCCCTGTGTTCACCTTTTAGCAGGTTGTTGGTTTTTTTTTTTTTTAAGATTTTATTTTAAAATAATCTCTACACCTAATGTGGGGCTCGAACTCATGACCTTAAGATCACGTCTCATGCTCTATCGACTGAGCCAGCCAGGCACCTCTCACCTTTTAGCACTATTTATGAATAGTTTTTGTCTGTTTGTTTCAGAGCGCCTGTTCCCTTAATCCTGGCCTGCCCGCCCCTCTGGCTCCTCACCTCTCCACTTTAATTTGGCTGTTGACCCTGGGCCTGCAGGTCTCAGGCCATCCCTTTTGGCAGGTGTTCAGGGCCTTTCTGTGACTGTTCTGAACATTCTCGAATGAAAACTCTCAAAGTCCCTTCCCTGACTTGCCTCGTCTCCACCTATAAATTAGTGATAGAAGGAAATCAGCGACTGTGTTTTCTGGATTGATCAAAACCAAGCAGGCTGAAGCAGTCAGTGATCCTTGGTTAAATCGCCCTGTAATCAAATAAGGAGCTGATGAACCAAGGAACCCTGGAAACAACCTGTGTCCATTTCCCACTGCCAAAGCACCTCTATGGCTAGAAATAATACATGGCTTACAGTGTTTTTCTGTTAATCACAGGTTGAAGCAAAGTCATTCTCAAACCGTTCTCACGTTTTGGAATCAAAGTAATTTAAATCTTATCTTCCCCGATCTGAGTTGACATCTGTATGACATGGTTCCTTCTCCTTGGCATATTTTAGAAGCGTTTAAGGGTACAGAAAAAAGACCTTACACTCTGGTAGCCTTTGCTTTATTGATGTAGAGGTGCCTTTTTAAAAAAATATAATTTATTGTCAAGTTGGCTAACATACAGCGTATGCAGCGTGCTCTTGGTTTTGGGGGTAGATTCCCATGATTCATCACTTACATACAACACTCAGTGCTCATCCCGCCTTTTTTTTTTTTAAGGAAGAAATAAAACTGTCTTAAAAGAAGATAGAAGACATGATTGTACGTAGAAAATCCTAAGGAATATTCAAAAAGCTATTACAACTAATAAATGAGTTTAGAACGGTTACAAGATACAAGGCCCATACACACGAGTCAATTGCACTTTTTAATTTGAAAAAACTCTTAAATTAGTTTTTAATGTGGTAAAATATACGTAACATAGAATTTTCCATTTTAATCATTTTAAGTATACAGTTTAGTGGCATTAAATACATTTTTTTAATTTTTTTTTAAGGTTTTTATTTCTAGGAGAGAGAGAGAGACAGCGTGAGCAGGGGAGGGTCAGAGAGAGAGGGAGTCACAGACTGAAACAGGCTCCAGGCTCTGAGCTGGCAGTCAGCACAGAGCCCGACGCGGGGCCCGAACCCACGAACCGCGAGATCATGACCTAAGCGAAAGTCGGACGCTTAACCGACTAAGCCACCCAGGTGCCCCGGCATTAAGTACATTTGCACTGATATGCAACCATCAAAATGGCTTCTTAACACATAAAATTTTTTTATCGCTAAATGTATTGTGTGTACATATATATATGGGTATATATATATATATATATGAGTGTATATATATATATGGAATGGCAAAGCCTCATGTTTTACCTGCATTTCTACTTCAAGTTAGAACAAAATCTAAGAACTGAGTTCTATGTATAAATAACTAACCCACCAGGCAGTTTGCATGTGGCAGTGTCAGATTCCACACACTATCTTGGGAAGAAAGGAAAAAGTTAATAAATATTTTAATGGGAGAGGACATACTTATTGTACTAAATATAGAAAATATAGGTAAGCAGAAAAAACCAAGAAGGATGGATATTATTGATACTGACCTTTTAGGAATTGATAACTCAGTTCCTTTCAGTATTTGAGGACTTAAATAATATTAGCTGGTGCATGAGCTAATTATCGGCCACAAGTAGCAGACTTTTGCTTCATATCATCTCAGGGTGACTACTGAGTTTCTGGCAATAATAGGCCAATGGTTTTGTTTTAGAGAAAACCATATGAGGGATTCATTATGTATGTCTGG